GGGCGAGAGTAAAGGCAAGTCCCAGTTTTTGGCCCTGGCAATGGGAGCGTGTAGGCGCCCAGAGAGCGCTGCCAGCCTGCGCCGGCCCCTGGGTTTGAAACGAGGAAAACATGGTGGTGCCGTGCAGCCCCTTGATGCTTAACTGGGGAGAGATTCTCATGTCATGCCCCAGAGAAGAAAAGAAACTCCCGAAGGCAAGTGCCGTCGGAATGTGGGTCCTTGCTGCATTTGTGTGTGTAGCCTCTGAATTTGGAGGAGAAGGAAAAGGAGTTTGGTGAATGTTTTGGCCCACGGCCGCTTTGCCGGTACGGTTTGTGTTTGTGTGTCCTCTGGGCTGCTCCCGTTACGGGCAGGACAAGCTCAGCACTGTGGTGTAAGCTCACTGACTGGGGCACTGACACCAGGGCTGCCTTTGGCCCCCAGCCACTGGCGGCTCCGTGGTCCCATCTGCTCTGCAGGCATCTTCCCAAAGGTCACCTCGGAGGTGGCTCCTTTTAGCTCCCAAGGGAGAGGGACATGCATGCAGAGGCCGAGCTGCGTGCTGCCAGCCCCGCAGCCTCCGGCAGCGCAGAGCCAGTCTCAAAGGCGTCGGGGAAGGTTTTTCATCGCATGCACAGAGCCCGTGAACCCCCCCACTGCTGAAGGGAACGGGCAGCTGCTCCCAGCCCGTCCCCATAGTTGTCCCTTGCTCTTGTCCCCTTGCTGGGCTCCATCTTCAGCAGTGCAGCAAGGGCCTGATCTCTGCTGAAGCTTTCACCCACCTGAAGAAATAATCACACTGCATGCTTTTCACTTTATTTCCCTTGACTAGGTTTGCTTGGTTTATACTCTCTTTAGAGCTGATTTCAGTGCCTTAGCCTCATGCAACAAGCGCCACAGGCAAGAGTTTGAACTCTCAAATGCTTTGGTTTTACTGGAAACCTTAAAAAAGAAGATTGGGATGATTTTTCCTCTGAATAGGAGATGATTGCATTCCCCGACGCTGCCCAGGAGGAGGGCAGAGGAGGGGGTGGCCGCAGTCCTGTCCGTTTGTCCTGGGGATAAATGAGGGTGCTGGTAAAGGGGAAGAGGTGCAAGGAGCACACTGCCTCCCTGCTCAGCCAGGGATCCGCCATGTGCCTGCGAAGATAACGTTTTGCTTCAAAAAAGCCTTTCTGATCCGCAGTGCTCTGACCTGAGATTTTTCCTTAAACCCAAGGTGACCGGGAGGGCAGGTTTTGGCTGCCACCCTGCCCTGGATCCCACTCGCCCCAGGGCAGCGAGGGGCAGGTGCCCGGCTGGGATGGACGGGCTCTCCTGCAGCACCGCTGGCCTTCCCTCTGCTCCTCCCGAGTATTTTCCCTTTGGAGCTCAACAGCAAAAAGCAATTTTTTTCTTTTTTTTTTTTTTAATGGAGTCATTTTTCCTGCCAAAAGGTTTGTCTTTCCCCCCGTGTCCCTCCCCCCCGTCGCTCCCCCTTTCTAAGCCCCATCACAGAGGTATCATTTGTTCCCGGCCATTGGCATCTGGTGGCGTCAAGATGAATAATCCCCAGCACGGGGGAGTGGGAGGAGGACTGCGGCGGGGAGCCGCAGTCCCTGCAGCGGGGAGGCAAGAGCTGGGTGGGCGTCACAGCATCCCTCCCTCCCTCCCTCCCTCCCTCGGGTGCTGGCGTGGGAGAGTGCCCGCGGAGCCACCCTGAGCTGGATGAGACCGTGGGGCACTGGGAAGGCTTGTACGCTGCTCCCATGCAGGTCTTTGCTCTGTGCCTCAGTTTCCCTGCGGGAAAACAGGCTTCTTCCCCCCTCCCCAGGGCCGTGCTGGGTTCGACACAATAGCAAACCTCTACGTTATTATTCTGGGGGCGGAAAGCAGCATTACTCAGAGCCAGGATTGCTAATAACGCACTAAATATAGCGCTTTCCATCTCCAGAGTACTTTCTGAGCTCTAGTTCGTGAGCCCTAACCCCCTCCAGAGACAGGGGCCAGGGCGCCAGCCGGCATCGCTGTGCGGGCAGGGATGCCGGGAGAGTGATGGGACGACATTCCCCGTGGATGCTCCTCCTGGAGACGCTTCCCATCGTGGTGGAGGAGGGAGCGGGCATCGCGTCAGTCCCTCCTGAGCTCGCCCAGGTTGAGGGGGACGGGGGCGGCAGGCCGAGGCCCCGGGGCGGGCGGGCAGCGAGGGACGGGCTCCCGCAGCCTCTCGGTGGTGGGGGGAAGG